CAAGTCCTCTTCACTTTCAGTGAGCAAGGTTGTGTCACCTGCATATTGCAGGTTGTTAATGAGTCTTCCTCCAATCCTGATGCCCCGTTCTTCTTCATATAGTCCAGCTTCTCGGATTATTTGCTCAACATATAGATTGAATAAGTATGGTGAAAGGATTAACGCACACCTTTACTGACTAAGCCACACAGTATCCCCTTGTTCTGTTCAAATGACTGCTTCTTGGTCTATCTACAGGTTCCTCATGAGCACAAGTTAAGTGCTCCAGAATTCCCATTCTTCCCAATCTTATCCATAATTTGTTATGATCCACACAGTCAAATGCCTTTGCATAGTCAATAAAACACAGGTAAACATCTTTGTAGTATTCTCTGCTTTCAGCCAAGATCCATCTGACATCAGCAATGATATCCCTGGTTCCATGTCCTCTTCTGAATCCAGCTTGAATTTCTGGCAGTTCCCTGTCAATGTACTGCTGCAATTGTTTTTGAATGATCTTCAGCAAAAATTTTACTTGCATCTGATAGTAATGAAATTGTTTGATAATTTCCATAAAGATGATAGCCTCGGAAACCATATGGGGCAGTTCTACTCTATCCCATGGGGTCACTAGGAGTTGGAATCGATTCGAAAGCAATGGTTTTTCCACTGTCTGCAATTCAGGAAGGAGCAGTAGAAGGATAGGAAGGAGGCTGGGCACCCATCAGCCACATACACAGGGGAGGGGTAGTGCTCTGAGGCATTGCAGGAGTGATGACATTAGCTGTGCATTGGTAGAACCATCCTAATAAGTCACGTTGTATGCCCTCCAGAAGGGTGTTTTGTGGGGACTCCGGTCTGTGCATGCTGTGTGCCTTGGGCACTAGGTTTCAGCCCTTTGTAAGCTGTGACTCGATCCTATTGCTGTAATCCAGGCAGGTGACTTCCAGAAAGTTTTCTCATGCCCATTACCAGGAATACATTGCATTTCGCTTTGACACTTGAGTATTTTCATTCTTAAACCCTGGGTTTTAGAGCTGAAATATTGCCTTTTTGGTGAACTGCCACCCAGCTGCAATGTCACGTGGGGGAAGGTGCTGGATGCTTGCAGTCCTGGTGGGAAGGGGGGCTGTTAGGAGACAGAAAGCATTGCTAAAAATAAAGCAAGCGCATATGGCCCAACAGTGCTTTTTCCTAAGACAACAAGTTTCTAACTTTCAGCAAAGCCAAGCCAATTACCCTTACAATTTACACAGATATGTCATAGCTGGGTCACATTACTGGACAGCCCCATCTTGGGGATGTGTGGCTCTTGAAAATACTGGGCGACTTTTGCTGTCACCTCAGTCTGAGATGGAGTAGTACAGATTGAAGGCATCAAAAGTATTTTCATATGAACATGTCGAAGTGTCATGTTAGAGCAAGAGTCATCATCATCATCACCCAGAAGAACGTGCCTTGCAAACTGTGAAGTGCTATTCAACTAGGAGATGTTACCAGTCTCTCGATAAGACGCTGCTGCTTCATCATCTGTTGAACTGATTCTGTCACACAAACACAGGCTTCTTCCGTCATGTATCTGCTGATGCTTTAGTTCACTAAACTCCAGTGGAGATGATAAGAACTCACTGAGTCATGAGGAAATGTACACGGAGCCTTGTTTAAAATCTGATTTCTATTCTTGGCTCTATTGAGAAGTTCCTTGACCACAGGGTCTGCTAGATAGCACAGGTGGGCTCACCTGTACAGTTCTTTTGATAAACAGTAGCAGCAGCGGGCATTTGAACGTATAAATGTGTTGCTTTATAAACCTCTTGAAGGTTTGTCAATACTTTTTCAGATCAGAGCCTCTCCATCTGAATGCAGATGATGATACAATGTATACACCTTGTATCATTGATGATGATACAATGTACACACATTGTGTCATCCCCATAAATCCCACAGACTGCATACAGGTGTCTCGTTATTAATGACTGCCCCCAGGTGAGAATTCCAGGGTGTCACCTTCTACTGCAGCAAGGTTAACACCATGCTAATAATAGTCAAATTCACTGTGAACACATTATGTTCTCTTACTTGCTGCCCTAAGGAAAACACGCCTTGGAACAATCTTTCGGAATAGTAGATAATTTTTAAACAAAGTCTTATGAAACAAAGCGCATTTTTTTTACGTACACAGAAAGAAGCGTTGACATGATTTTCCATACTTGGTACCGATTAGATATTCCAAGAAGTATACTTATTTCCGTGAATCGTTATTGCATGATATTTAATACAAGTCCCAGTGAGTCTGGTTGGTCTTGTAATGGACACAGAGTACTTTTGTTGCTTATGTTCCTCATAAGTTGGTTTTACTAGTCTTATCACTGACTTAATTTTTAAAACAAGTTTTCTTTATCAAACCACATCAAGTTAACCTGAGTGTTATTTCCTAATTCGATTACTTTTTCATATGAGTTCCAATTTAGCCAACCTGAAAAAAGAAAAGAAAGCGAGAAATGCTGTCACTTCCCAGACAGCCTGCTAATGATGCTGGAAATGTCCCCAAATGTCGCTGTGACACTATGAAAGTGGATCGATGTCCCTTGTCCAGGTAGCGAGTCTCGGGGGTTGACAATACAGCACAAGAAAAGCATCCAAATCCCATCAAACAAGGTTTCCCTTAAACCGTCACCAGGATTACAGACTCCCACTATTGTAGTTTATTGTTAAAGTGTTTTAAAATAGAAAAGATGTGACATTGAAGAAAGCTAAAGAAAGACTGTTAAGCCGAGACAGTGGGAGTCATGGGGGGGGGTCCATTGGGGTCTCAGATGAATCCCCCAGCTTTGGGGCCATGTCTGGCTCTGCAGGCCAAGGTGGGCCCCTAACCTAAGTTTTGCTCCACTTCCCAAAGGTACCACTGGGGCCTGTGTCCCTAGGGGCTAGACTGAGCCTCGGCTGCTCAGGACCAAACCAGGGTTCTCAGCCGGGCATTTTCCCTTCAAACTAAACGACAGACGGTCCCTGGTGCAGAGAAAGAAAGAGAGACACAGACAGAGAGAGAGACAGGCAGACAGACACAGAGAGAGAGAGAGAGGGAGAGAGACAAAGAGAGAGGGGGGAATGAGAGAGAAGCAGAGAGAAACGAGAGAGAGAGAGAGAGAGAGAGAGAGAGAGAGAGAGAGAGAGAGAGATCGAGCAGGCTGCAAGGTGGTGTCCTCTCTTGGGGAGGAGGGGGTCACTGGACTCATACAGGTTGGGCTGCAAACTGCGCTGGGTCCCCGGACCTTCCCAAGCTAGCCGACCCGCAGAGTTGATAAAGATCTCTGCTCTGTGTCCAGCAGACCTGGGAAGGTGCACCTGGAAAAGAGCAGGATCTGTCCCACGTGTGAAGCCCCAATGGGGAAGGCCAGGCAGGGAACTTGGCTGTTCTTTCTCTCTTGCACTCCTTAAATTTTTATTTTAGAATTCTAAAGAAAGGGGTATGCAAAGCTATTTTGCTGCACTGGGTAACCGTGAGCTAGACTGGGTGGATGGGAGAGGGGTGGGAGTTTAGGCTCAGTGTCTGGAAGACCCTTTAGTCAGAGTATGATGAAGCCCTCGGATCAGGAAGAAAAACACAAACAGCGCTGTCTCCAAGTCCCGTTGGCGTGGGCCTGCTCTGCGGGGATCAGCCCTCCCTGACTGCCTTTGGGGAAGATGTTCCTGGAGGGGCCCGAGCTGGGGCCCACGGAGAGGAGCGCGCAGGGCCAGCGGGCAGCCGCCCTCGGGTGTCCCCCCGTGCAGTCGCGGCCCGTGGGCCCCACCTCGCGGCCCGCCAAGCAGCCCGGGTGGAGCGCTCCTCCAGCCCTGGTTCAACTTCAATAAAAGGGCCCGGCCGCCCTTGATCACGCGGCTCTCCTGACAGCTCTGCGCAGGCCCCGGCCTAATCGAGCTGGGTCACCTGGGAATAGGTTCAAAGGCATCAAAGCTGTAAACCACCTCCATGCCCGGAGCCAGAGCGGCCTGGCGAACAAAGAGCCCCCGGCCCACTTCAAACGCGCCCGCGCACCGGGGCCAGATGGCGCGGGTCAGGTCCTCAGCGTCGCCCAGCTGGCCCGGCCCTACGCACCCGCCGCCCTGCACCCTCCTGCCCGTCGGCGCCCCGCGCAGGAAAGGCCGCCGCGGCGGGCCCGGAAAGACCCCTCGGCATTCCCCAGACGCCCTTCCAAGCATTGCCGACACGCGGGGTGGCGGGGGGGGCCAAGGCCTGGCCAGCGGTGCCGCGGAGGGCCGGGCAGGGCTGGGCGCGCGGCCCCGGGCGCTCCCGCAGAGGCTCACGGTGGCTCCAAGGTGTTCAAGTCCCTCGAAGGAGGGCCCGCCAAAGCCGTCGGGGACGCGCGCCCGGCCAGTCGGGTGACAAATCGCCCGAAACTCGGGCTAGGCTGGCCCGGCTTCGCCACGGATCCGGAGGCGCGTCCGCGGGCCCGGCGTCTCCAAGGGCACCAAGTGTCCACCCGCCCACGTCGGGGCCGGCAACCCTGCCGCGCAGTCCCCCACCTAAAACCTGGCGTCGGGGCGGCGGGAGGACTCGTTGAGCGCCCAGGGCTGCCAAGGCGAAGACAGGCCGGGCTCCCGCGGTGCCCTCACCTCCGAGAGCGTACTGGGCCGGGCACGCTCCCCGCCGCCTCACGCCCGGTCAGACCCAGCATCCCGCGGCCGCCTCTCCACGCCGAGGCGCAGACAAAGCCGCCGGGGGCCCGCGGCGCGGGCGGTGGAACCCGCTTCGAGGTGCGGCGTCCGAGGGGAGGCCCGGCTGCAAGCGGCGCGGGGGGCGGGGGCGCGGAGCCCCGATCGGCCGGCCCCCGGCGCCGTGGCCAATCAGCGCGCCGCCCTCGCTCCTGACAACTATTTAGCAAGCGGCCCGGCTAGAGTTTCCACAAAAAGTCAGAATAACTTCCTCCCGCGGAGCCCTCGCGCGCACACGCCGGCCCTGCAACCGGAGCCGGCGAGCGGCGCGGCGAGTGGGCCGGCCCCGGGCCAGCCACGCCGGCGCCATGGAGGAGGGCTCCAGCTCGCCCGTGTCCCCCGGAGACAGCCTGGGCACCAGCGAGGAGGAGCTCGAGCGGCAGCCCAAGCGCTTCGGCCGGAAGCGGCGCTACAGCAAGAAGTCGAGCGAGGATGGCAGCCCGACGCCCGGCAAGCGCGGCAAGAAGGGCAGCCCGAGCGCTCAGTCCTTCGAGGAGCTGCAGAGTCAGCGCATCCTGGCCAACGTGCGCGAGCGCCAGCGCACGCAGTCGCTCAACGAGGCCTTCGCGGCGCTGCGCAAGATCATCCCCACGCTGCCCTCGGACAAGCTGAGCAAGATCCAGACGCTCAAGCTGGCCGCCAGGTACATAGACTTCCTCTACCAGGTCCTGCAGAGTGACGAGATGGACAGTAAGATGACGAGCTGCAGCTACGTGGCCCACGAGCGCCTCAGCTACGCCTTCTCCGTGTGGCGCATGGAGGGCGCCTGGTCCATGTCAGCCTCGCACTAGCGCCCGCCACCGCCCGGACCGGCGCCAGGGTAGGTCTGCGCGGGCGCCGTGCCTGCGGGGGGCGGCCTTGGGCCTGCCTCCCTCCGGGGGGCCCGCGGCCGCGTGGATGGGGTACACTGGCATGGTGGATCGGGTGCGCTTTCCGCCTAGCAACAGATGGGGGGAGCTGGGAAGCGCCTATGTCCGAGGGGCGCCCCTGCGGCCCTTACAAGCTTCTGTGCACGGGTGTCAGTTGGGACCAGGGGATGGTGACCCTTCCAGCAGAGTCCGAAGGCACTTTTTAGATACAGTGGGATTTTCCATCTGGGTTGTGTGTGGGTGCCTGTGAGGACGGGCCATCGAAGACTCACCTGGGCCGGCCAGGGGTAGGGCGACAGGGGCCAGCCCTTCGGATTCTCGAAGCCTAGGCCGCCCCGGGCTGTGGCTTCCCCTCTTCCCGGGAGCAGCGGAGCGCGGTCATCTGGCGGCCGGGCCGTCTTTCCCGGGCTGCTTGTATCGGGAGCTCCACGTTTGCCCGCGAGCACAGCGGCGCCCCAGCTTCCAGGCCTGCGCCCTCGCGGCCCGGCCGTCGGCGCCCGACCTGCGCGGTGGAGGATTCGTGTTCGGTGAAGTAGATGTGCGGCCGGCCGCCCCGGGCTTGGCCTAGGAGGGCGGAACACTGTCCTTCGCGGGCGGCGCGGGGCCCGCTGCAGCCGGCTCTGCGCCCCGGCCTCGGCTCAGCCCCCGTCCGCGCAGCGGGAGAGCTGGGGTCGGCCCCGCGCGGGAGCGCCGGCGACAGGCCGAGCGGCCCCAGGCTGCCCGCCGGCAGGTGGAGGCCAGCCTAGGAGCTGCGGGCCCCATGTCCCTCCCTTGAACTTGAGCCTGGGAGGCGCTCACCCCGCGCGGAGGCCCCGCGTCCTACACGCAGAGGAGCGCGAGGGCTCCAGGCTGGGAAACAGGTCCACGTCCGCCTGTAGGCGAGGGACCGGGTGCGGGCCGGGGCCTGTGCGGGGAGAAGGTGGCGGAGAAGGAAAACGGGAAACTGCCGCCGGAGCACTGGCAGGTCCAGGTTCCCCTGAGAGGAGCGCTGAGGGTCCTGCACCCGCTCCTTTTGACCCGCTCCGACTGCCGAGGAGCCGAGGTTTCCAGGAGGGCCTTGTGGGGCAAGCGGGCATCTGCTTTGAATGGCCATGCGGGCTGTGGAGGGTGTAAGAATCTTTTGGGGGGTCAGGTTTACATTTTTTTCCTGCTTGGTATGTTTTCGTTTCTCACTCATCTGACCATGTTTTTGTAAAAGCCTCTACTTCACACAGAAGGAATTTAGATCAGTCAGGAGTTCGTCGTGCAGCCGCCCGTTCTCCCAAACGTCTCTGGTTCTTTTTTGTTTGGTTCTGTAATATCTGCAAATGTTGCTAGGACCAGCAAAGGTTAGTGATCTAGCACAGGTGGATTTTATATTTTATTTTTCAGCTTTCATTTCTGTGCTGCTGAGAATTCTTTGGATGAAATAGCCCCCTAAGATAATGATAGTTTAGTAGGGTTTTTTTTTTTTTTTTTTTTTTTTTTTAAGACTTTTTAGCAGAGAATAACTTGTGGGAAACTTCTGACTTTGTCAAAAGCAGATGGAAAGTGTCTCAATCACATATTTCTTCTGGAAACAAACTTTGGGTTGGCTGAGGACTAAAACGCTACAGTGGGGTAGTACGTTAATTCTGGTTTTTTGCTGCCTAAATAATGAGCCTCCATTAGCTAATTCCTTTCACCCTTTATACCATCCGTGGTTTACAGCACATCTGAAACAAGGATAAACAGATGAGGAATGCCATCTTTTTAAAACACACACACATAGTTTTGTTTAAGGAAAATGTCAACAGAATTATCATCAAGATTGCCCTCCAGAAAATTATTGGGGGAAAAAAAAGCACCAGGAGATGCTACCTTAAAGCAAGAATTTAGTGGGAATATTTAAAATTCATTTAAAGGCAATCGTTGTGTTCTAAAATTTAAAAGAATGAAAAAATCATAAATGACAATGAATGAGCATATAGATATACATACACCAAACCAAACCCATTGCTGTCAGGTCGAGTCTGACTCATAGCAACCCTACAGGACAGGGCAGACCTGCCACATAGAGTTTCCAAGCAGTGCCTGGTGGATTCAAACTGCCAACCTTTTGTTAACAGACATAACACTTAACCACTACGCCATTAGTTTCCCATTCAATAGTTTATACACAAATTGTTCTGTGACATTGGTTGCAGTCCCTGCAATGTGTCAGCACTCTCCCCATTACCACTCTGAGTTGCCCATTTCCGTCCGTCCGTCCGGTTTCCCTGCCCCTTCCTGCCTTCTCATGTTTGCTTTTGGGCAGATGTTGCCCTTTTGGGCTCATGTAGATGATTGTTCTAAGGAGCACTTTCCTCACGGGTGTTACTGTTTATTTTATAGGGCTGTTTATCATTTGGCTGAAAGGTGATCTCCAGGAACGGCTTTGGTTCCAAGTCAGAAGGGTGTCTAAGGGCTGTAGTCTCAGGAGTTTCTCTAATCTTTCTTGGACCAGTAAATCTGGTCTTTTTTATGAATATGATTTTTTTCTCCCTTTTTTTCCCACTGTAACCGGGACCTTCTATTGTGATCCTGGTCAGAGTGGTCAGTAGTGGTAGCCGGGCACCACCTAGTTCTTCTGGTCTCAGGCTCGTGGAGGCTGTGGTTCCTGTGGGCCATTAGTCTTTGGACTAATTGTTACCTTGAGTCTTTGGTTTTCTCCACTCTCCTTTGATCCAGAGGGAAAGAGACCAATAGTTGTATCTTAGACAGCTGCTTGCAAGCTTTTAAGACCCCAGACGCTACTCACTGAAGTAGGATGTAGAACGTTGTCTTTATGAACGGTGTTATGCCAATTGACCTAGGTGTTCCCTGAGATATATAACCACATATATAATGTATATATATGCAGTATATGCATATAATTTACATATTTATAATATATAATTTTTCCAGGCAGTACTTGTGATCGATGAAAAGCAGTGTTATGAAATTGTTTGGAAAAAAATCCTTGAAAAACATAACAGATAGCACATTCAGACGACGAGCAGATGATCTGTGTGGAACCCTGACTCATATACTTGGGTACAGTTGGCTATTTTGGATACGCTGGTTTCTTTACATTGATAGATACACACACCGTACAAGAAAGGAAGGGGTGTTTCACACTGATGTTTTTGATACACGGATGACTCTGAACATTCCTTATTTTTATTTATCAGGCATATTAGACAAACAGTTTTGTATTCTTTTTGTTTTGAACCCAAATTGCCTAAAACTTGCAGGACTGCTTTGTATTCTCTGGGAGCATAAATACAGTTATAATTGATTTGTTTTGAAAATGTTGCAAAGTGGCATTTGCTATTTATCTGTCACATTTCTGGGAAGCATTGGTTGTATTTAGTGGGAAAGACTTTTCAGTCATTTCACTGAATTGCTTGTAATCTTAATGTCTAATCTGAGAAGTTTTCACATATGAAGAAAGCTGTGTCTAGACTCACAGCAGTAACAACAGTACTGCAAATGGCGGGATATAGCTGGTGCTAATATTTATCCTGACTTTCTTATTTGCCTGGTATTTAAAAACACAACTAGGCAATAAATCATATGTCTCTGGACACTCCGCTGAATTTATCCAACTGGAAAATCTGAACAGAATTTTTATCCTTCTAAGTATTCTCATTAAATATGCGAGCCTTGGGCAGGGTCAGAGTCCCCTGGCTGGAAGGTGGTGGAAGGTGACAGTTCCTGATGACGCATTTTCCCTGTTCTCTGCTTTGTGGTTAAAGAAAATCTCTTTTCCAACTTCTGCAACATACGCACAGATTTTCAGCCGGTTACTGTATCAACAGAAAATTTTTTCTGGAGAACTTTTAGTGATTTTGGAGAACAGTGTATAACCTTTTCCTCATCCAATACGTATAAACTTTTTTTCCTTCCTGAAAATTTGCCTCTTGAACGTGTTTGTTAACTGCTGTCTTCTGAAGGCTAGACGGTCTTAAAAGAAAATTGATTCCCCCCAGAGAAGAGCAGAAATGCAGAATCCCGGTCACATTTTTGATTGGGAAGAAGAAATAGAAGGAAGCGCTGAGTTACGTGAAATGATCTGTCATAAAATGCTCATCGGTAAATGCTGACACAGGGAGCTGACCTCCCTCGCGTGGTTATTGTTCTCTTAAATATCAGTGGTTCTTCTTTTCACCTTGTATAAGGCAAGTCTTTCTATCCTCTGACCAAAGCCTGGGGGAACAATCAGAGTGGCTGTTTGAGGCCATTTAAAATTAGTACCTTACTGAATTTTTCTGAAAATTGTGCTATTTTCAGACAGATCTCGAGCCTGAAAAAATTGGGTTTTCATCATCCCTGCTTTGCTGTGTTCTGGGTAGATGATACTGATGCCAGATTCCTTTTGCCTGGAAAAAGATCACAAAGTAAACTCTTCCTGAGCAGAGCATGATAACTCATAATTTCAGTTTAAATCCGGGCTTAAAAAAAAAACAAAACAAATATTTTAATAAGCCAATTTTAAAGGCTGAACTTTTATGACAGTTTTTAAGCTCCATATTTATATTAATCTGCTCTCACTGGTGTCTTTAAAAACCCTGAGAATACACGCTGGAATGTCTGTTTATGTTTGTGTCTTTTCCTGGGAAAGGATAAATGTGCTGCAGAAAGCAAAAGGAATCCCAAGCTCTCCGCTAGCAGAAAGTTCTCGAAGGAGGCAATAAAATTCAAATAAAGGATGAATTAGCCAAGAAATGGGAAGCCATAAAGAAGAAACACAATGTCAGAGATAGAGACCGGCATGGATGCGCTCGGAAATACAGCCAAGATGAAACAGAACAAAAACTGCTTAAAAAGATACTCCACGTGGTCCCCAGAATGCACACACGTGATAAAACCGCACAGAACTAAACACACACACACACACACACACACACACACACACACACACACACGTACATCCACAATAC